TTCTTATTAGACTCAAACAACCAACTTGGCTATTAAATAGCCTTACATCAAACAGGAAATAAGATAACAGCCCACGATTATACAAGTCCTAGAATCGTGGTAAGTGACTAAAATAGAAACAGAAAGATAACCTTGTCCCTCAAGTATAGGAGGGTTATTAACACGTCTAGGAATAAATCCTAGAATAAAGGAATCCTAACAGCTAGAATCTTAACAACTTCAACAGCATTACAAGGAATTTTCACTGGCTAGGCTTGAAAAAACAGGTGAAACACTTTGTGGCAAGTTGTGATGTATCCAATGACAAAAATATGAAGCTCTTCATCCGCAAGGGCTGCTTCGTCCATTGCCCATCCTCAAGCTACATGGCAAGACATTGGTATAGACTCCGTAGAAGGACTTCCATCAGTTCAGGTAAAAATTGTATTCTTGTGGTTGTGGATCGTTTGTCAAAATATGGCCACTTCATTCCGGTGAAGCATCCTTATACAGCTGGTCAGATTGCTGAAGTTTTCATTCGAGAAGTTTTGCGCCTACATGGGATGCCTCGTTTTATCGTAAGTGATCGAGACCCAGTGTTTATTAGTCATTTCTGGAAGGCCTTCTTCTCTGCCCAAGGAACCAAGCTATGTCACAGCTCTGCGTACCACCCCCAAACTAACGGCCAGACTGAGAATCTCAATAAATCCCCAGAACACTACCTGAGATGCTATGTGCAGGACAAACCACACACCTGGGTACAGTGGCTTCCGTGAGCAGAGTGGTGGTACAACTCCACCACCCAACTCCGCCATTAAAACGTCTCCATATCAGGCGTTGTATGGCCAAGCACCGCCTTCAATTGAATATTATACTCCCGATACGACCGCAGTTCAAGCAGTGGACTTGGCATTACGAGAGCGTGACTCCCTTCTCCAACGATTGCGTCAAAATTTGCAAGTAGCACAAGAACGGATGAAATTCTTTGCTGATCGACATCGCACTGACCCGTGAATTCCACGTGGGGGACCTGTATCGACAAACTACCGTCAGTCACACTCATCATTCCAAGATTTCCCCACGTTACTACGAGCCCTTCAAAATTCAGGCACACATTGGTCCCGTAGTTTATCGCTTAGATTTGCCAGCCAACACTCGCATCCACAACTACTGAAACTGAAGGTGGGAAATACAGTCACTCCTTTTTTTTGGTAACAAATACAGTCACTCCTTCACCACAGCTTCCACCCCTTCATGCTGATGGCACATGTTGCATTCCTAAAAGGACACAAATTAATGTGCAAACAACCAATTAAAAATACCCGCAAGTGCACGAATCTATTGAAGTATAGATTATGTAAGTACGGGGTCGATCCCACGAAGAACTTGTCGGCTCCCTATAAGTTCTAATTTGAGTACGTAAAGAACACTTAATTGACACACCACAAATACGCAAATGCAAAATGGAAACTAAAAATAAGTAAAGAAGTGCAAAAGAAATGAAACAATACAAGAAAACTAAAGAAAAACACAAACAACATTTTCTTATCCGTTTTCTGCATGTGGGTGTCATTCCTCTGTATGTAGCTTTTTCTCTCACTAATGAAACTATCTGTGTTTCTAGCCATTGAAGCAACAAGTTCTTCCAAAGTCGGTCCTTGAGGTTGTTGGTAAGATTGTGGTGGAGTGTAATGTTGAGGTTGACCATAAGGTGGACAAGTATTATGTTGGCCTTGATATGGTTGATATGGCCCTTGTTGAAAATTTGGATTGTCGGTCCACCAGAAGTTTGAATGATTTCTCCACTCCGGATTGTATGTTTGT